ATGGGTCCAGGTTACCTGAGGGACCATCTCACCCCCATTACATCGACCTGTCCCACCCAGTCCAGCAGAGAAGGCATGTTGCAGATCCCGTCAGTGAGAGAATGTCGACTGGCGGGTCCTAGGAGAAGAGCTTTCTCTGCCATTGCCCCCGCCCTATGGAATACTCTCCCCCCAGAGGTGAGGCAGGCCCCTACCCTCCCAATTTTTTGGAGGGAATTGAAGACTTGGCTCTGCCAACTTGTGTGGGGAGAGGAAAGATACAATCGACCCTGGGGATGGCTGGTGCCTTGATAATGCTCCCTGAGCTTATTAACACTTAATTAACATCAGCCTCTTGGAAGTACCATAAAGGAAAATAAAGGAAGTTTGTTTTTTAGCATATGTTAATTAATTAATTAATTAATTAATTAATTAACTATTATCTATTTTGCTGCCCAGAGTCACCCCACAGTGAGATGGGGAGTGATAAACAAACAAACAAACAAACAAATATTAAAAGGTCAAAATGTAAAGTGAAAGAATTTAAATAGTACAGCTTTCTGACCAGGTACCCTACAGGCACAGAGACTAGCAAGTCTAATCCTTCTTTCCCTCCTTTTGGGAGATAAGCCTGTCTCATTGGAGAAAACCAATTAACTATTTTTAAAAAGAGAACATGTAAAAAAACTTATGACAAAGAAAATAAATTACAGAGCTGTCCAGATCATGATTTACAACATCTGGCACTTGTTAAAAAAGAAAATACCAAAAGAAAATACAATGCTCCAGACAGAGGTAAGAGATATTTCATAGTGTTGTTCTTGTTGTTATTACAAATTACAAGGGGATCCTAAAGAAAAAAAAATCTTCTTGAACATAGTCTGAAGTATGGATAGAAGTTGGGATTACCCTTAGTTCTCTAACTTATACAAAGAAATAAAGAACAGTGAGATTTGGTACCACACAGAGATCAAGAACTAGCACAATTTTCTGGCTAGACATGTTATCTATTTCTACAGAAATAGCAGGCCCCTGAAGCAATTCTTCCTCTCCCTCAACTTCCTGGAATTCTCCAGTTTCTTGGGGATTCAATAATAATAATTCAGAGGCTGCTAGGGAGAAAAAAAACAACACTCTTTTTCCAGTCTTTCCCCAGTTCTCCCTTTTGTTTTAAAACAATCAAGTCTTTTCTATCTCCATCAAGAGAGGAGTCCGGTAAAGACTCTGTATATAATCAAGAACCATTAATGATTAATGGCTAATTCTGCAACCTACATTCTCAACAATACCATTAAAAAACTTGTCTTCATCATCAAGCTTCAACTAATTTTTGTTGTATTTTGCTTTGTATCAAGTAAAATCCAGTTCTTAGGAAGTTCCACTGAATTAATGAGGACTTGCTTCAAAGTAGGCATGTATAGGATTATACTATAAAACTCCCTTTTTGCATTACTGTATCTGGAAGGCTATAATACTTATGTTCCAAATGTACATTGCATCTTAACTTATACTAAAATATTTGCTGCAATGTACAGTGGTACCTCGGGATACGAACTTAA